AGGATTTTTTTCTTGCCAATTGGTGATTTTTAAATGACATTAATTAATTAAATTGTATGTGTGTGTGCGTGCACCTGTGCTCCAGTGCACACATGGAAGCCAGAGGACAGCGTGCAGAGGTTTGACTCTGTCTTCCACACAAGTCTCCAGCCTCCATGCTTGGCAGCAGACCCCTTCACCTGGCAAGCCCTCACCGGTCCAAATTTTTGATATTCTTTTTATAACACAGGACTTGCTCAAGTGGTTTGTGTTGATTTTGGGCTCTGAGTACCTGCACAGGCCACTGAAACCCCTCTGTGCCATAGCCTCCTCTCTATAGGATAGGTGGTACTTCACTGACACTGTGTGTGTGTGTGTGTGTGTGTGTGTGTGTGTGTGTGTGTGTGTGTGTGTATCACCACAGAAGCACTTACAAGCATTCCTAATCTCTTAGGGATTGTTGCTTCTGCCTACCAGATATTACCTACACAACCAGGTTATACTGAGTGCCGAGTCATTGGGTGCAAATGTTGAGATCTGCTTAGGTTTTGAAGGAAGCCAACTTAGTGGGTCCTGGGCAGAAAAAAGACTGGGTGTTACAGCATCCCCTTTACTATACCATGTCTGTCTTCATGCACATGTATGTGTTCTACACATCTAGTGTTCGGCTCTGTGTTCCTCTAATAAAGGAATGATCGAGAAAACTGGATGAATGCCAGAAAGTCATCTGGCTTTTTTTGGTTCTTTATTTAATTTGGGAGATAATCACTGAGGTCTTTCTGGAATGAACCACATACAATAAACAAGAGGGTCTGACATCTACCAGAAAGAGCTGCATATACAACATGGTCTTTTTCATGGCTTTTAAACTTCTTTAATGGCTAGATTGTTCAGTGCAGGCTCCTAAAGAACATATCCTGTTTTTAACATAAAGTTTCTGGAATTGGAAAATAATAGAGATGGCATATTTGGTTGAACTTGCATGTATTTTATCTTGAGTCTTTTAAATTTTCATTATGTTGGCCTAAGTATTTTAAACTGGCAGAATATTTGCATGGTTATAGAAAGAGAACTTTGTTTGTTTTTTGTTTGCTTTAGAGGTGGTCGTAGGGCCTGAGACTTGGTCAGTCTGTAAAGTGCTTTTACCATGCAAGTATTGAGGACTGGGATCCTCAGCACCTATGTAAAGAACCCGGTGTGGCAGAGTATACCTCTAACTCTGGTGCTGGCGTAGGTGGGATAAATGTGGGGACACAGGACAGCTGAATCCCTGAAGCCCATTGGCGACTAGTCAGCCATGTGTTTGAATTAATTAATCTCAGATTCAGCGGGAGACTCTGTCAAAAAATAATGTTGAGGAGTGATTGAGGAAAGGCAGCCAACGTTGACTTTTGGAATACATACACACAGAGAGAGAAAAGAGAGAGAGAGAGAGAGAGAGAGAGAGAGAGAGAGAGAGAGAGAGAGAACGCTCTCCAAACCACACGCACACAAATTATCTTAAGCAAGTGGACTTGAGGGATGCAAGGACAAGTTCAAGTTCAGATCCCTTCCAAAGAAGGACCACTCCGTACGTTTTATTTCTAAGGACAGACAGCCATGATTGGTTCTCACCAGACAACTGCACATGAAATGGAATCAGATACGCGAGTCCCACAGCTTTTCATGTAGTACCAGGAACATTGAATGTAGCAGGATGGATGTGGACTTAACTAAAGATGTCTTCTCATCAGTGATCAACATCAAATTAAGATTCTGGGACAGAAAGACTTTAGGGTTGTGGGTTAGCTCTGCTTGGAAAGCTGGCTCTACTGGCACAGCGAGACTGTTGTTAAAGTTTACAAAGCAGAGTTGGTACAGATGCTAGAGTGAGGACAGAAGCCTGGGGCAGACCAGAAGTCTAGATTGCTTATGGGCCTCTTTTACAAAGAAACCGAGAGATGGAAGATTCACAGAGAGCCCTGGAGATTAGAGGCAGCTAAGAAGTAACCATTTGCTAGGATTTGTGAGCAAGGTTACATGCATGTGCCTAGCATCTTTACACAGTAAACAGAGGGGTCCCGAGAAATCACTGCCTTCTTCTGGGCCCTTCCTAGTTACCCAGGACTTGCTTGTGTTGTCAACATAGCATAATACTAACTGCTTTAACTTGTTGATGACATGCAGGGAAGTTTGATAATTACTTCAGAATAAAGGATAAAGAGTTTTGTTTCAAAGAGGAAAACACTTTCCCGCATAATCCACGAGTGTGACTCAGATCTCACCCTTAAGTACAGGGAGTGTTGGCTTCCTCAGGAGAGCCTTGATTTTAATCTTTTAATTCAGGTGTCAATTAGTAACTCTTGTGTTTAGCTCTTGTGCCTCAGCACCTGCAGTTTTGCAGCCCTGCTTTAGTTAGTCCCTGTTAATTCACATTAAATCCCTGGACCATAGCTTTGAATTCCTTTTGTTTTTCTAAAGTGCCTCTGAAAGTACGTGTTTTGTTCTCAGCACCACTTGTATTGAAGAATTTCTCCTTGTTCCTTTCTTTAGGGTTATAATTTTATAAAGTGTTGATTGTAAGTTTTTAAGGATTTATAAAATTTGTCGTGTAGACAACAAAGTCACCGTCTGCATTTAAGAGTGTTTCCTATGCATTACATTTTTATAAAGTGTTGATTGTTTAGTTCTGAAGGAATTTATATAGAATTTGAATGAGTGAGGTTCTTTGAATGTTCCCTAACATATGATTGCCTCTCCTCTCATTAACCCCTCACCAACCTCCCCTGCACACACAGGGCACCAGTCCCTTCATCCAGTCCCTGCATGTGCTGCCTTTGGATGTAGAGCTTCTTAGATTGCTGTGAAGATAGGAAGTGAAAGGACCTGAGGCTGGAGAGATGCTCAGCAGTTAAGAGTGCGTGCTGATCTTGGAAAGGACCAGAGTTTGGTTCCCAGAAACCATACCAAGTAGCTCACTCCCATCTGTATAACTTCTGATGTCTTTTCTGCCCCCCAAAAGACATTTACACAAATGTGTGTGTGTATACCCATTCTCTCTCTCTCTCTCTCTCTCTCTCTCTCTCTCTCTCTCTCTCTCTCACACACACACAAAGAGCAAATATTCTTGTGATTCTATGGATGTTTTTATTCTGTCCTCCAAAAGACATTTGCACAAATGTGTGTGTGTATACACACGCTCGCTCTGTCTCTCTCTCTCTCTCTCTCTCTCTCTCTCTCTCTCTCTCTCTCTCACACACACACACACACACACACACACAAAGAGCAAATATTCTTGTGATTCTATGGATGTTTTTATTTTGCCCTCCAAAAGACATTTGCACAAATGTGTGTGTGTATACACACGCTCTCTCTCTCTCTCTCTCTCTCTCTCTCTCTCTCACACACACACACACACACACACACACAAAGTGCAAGTGTTCTTGTGATTCTATGGACGTTTTTATTCTGCCCTCTTGACAAACTGGTGAAGCCTTAAGAGTTTTATTTATTTGTTTATTTGTATTAATTTCCCTTGTTTTTATGAGATGAGGCTCACTCTGTAGCAGAGGCAGGGGCTAGAGCCCAATATTTAGTTCATACTTGCCTTAAATGTACTGCCTACCTGCCTTAGTCCTCAAGTGATGAAATTATAGGTATAAGCCCTCCATCTCAGAGGCAGGGCATGTGGGAGATACATGTTTGCACATGGGGAGGATAGAGGTCTACATTGGGCACCTTCCTCTGTAACAGTCTATCTTATTTTTCAGACAGGGTCTCTCACTGAACCTGGAGGTGGCCATTTCAGCTGAACTGGCTGGCCAGCTAGTCCCTGGATCTGTTTGTGTCCGCTCACTCATTTCTAGGGTTGTAGACGTTTGTACTACAGCTGGCTTTTCCATGGGCGCTGGAGATCTGGACTGGAGACCTCATGCCTTTGGATAAAGCACTTTACCAGCTGAGCCATCATCCCAGCCCCTCTGATGGAGAATTTTATAAGGAATTCCTCTTTTCTAGTCTCCTGCTGGACAGAGTGAATAGGTTGGCTTTGGGTGGGGGACAGCTGGAGCACAGGCACACCCACTATGACTGTCTAGAGTTGACCATAGAATGGCATTATAGAATTCATTCAGAATCCACTTGAGATTTCCAGATCCAAGGAAGCTGTAGATCACAGGTATTTTTTCTTTTTTGTACTTCATATCCAGTTGATGTATTTGGAAATAGCAAGGCTTATTTGAACGTGTTATTACATCAGGGATAGACTACAAATATAATATTTATTCGTGACTACGTACACTGCATGTGAGGTATGAGGTGACCCCCATTTCAGCAAGATAAATTCTGATATCCTAAATCCAGGCAACCTCATCTTTAGCTGTGACTGAAGAAGATACTGAAGTTTGTTTTCTGGAAGAGGCAGGGAATCCCCAGGGCTCACACATCAGGTTCCAGGGAGTGGTCAATACTGGCAAACATCTATTAAAAAGGAAGTGAATGCTCATCTTTATTGGGTAGAAGTCAGGTTTAGATCGTCAGTAGGACTGTTGCAGGATCGCACAATCACTAGAGTAGTCATGGACTCGACCGGTAACCAACTCGGCCCCAGCCTGGTTGGAAGGCAAATAGATTCTCACTGGTGGATGCCCTGTCATGTAATTTGGTGACAAAAGGCCACACCTTTTTTTCCGAAGATAATCCCATTGGGTTCCAGATGATTGGTGGCCACCTCTGTTGTGTGGGCCTTCAGCAGAGAGCACCTGGCAATATCAAAGCAATGCAGTGGCACACGAATTGTTTTGATTCGTGTAAATTTAACCATGGCCATGAAGGTGTACTGCCTCTCCCTTGGAAAAGTAATTCAGCCTTCAGAAAATAATTAAATTCAGCGTCTTGCAATAATTAGAAATTTGAAATGGGGAGGATTAATTATTTTCATCAGATTTCAGTCACTCAAGAAAATGCTTAAGAACGGAGTCCAGACAGTTGCCAAGTTAATTCACTTTGCCATGTCCTTTAATATGCTCGCCTTTCTCCTGCAGGACCATGCAGACCTCCGAAGCCATTTCTTCACAGTTGGGATGAAACTGGAGACAGTGAATATGAGTGAGCCCTTTCATATCTGTCCTGCATCAGTGACCAAGGTGGGTTTTCTGCTTTGCTCCTTGCGCTCCCCTCACCCCCACCCAGTGAATCCCATAGGTCTTCAAAAATGGGCAGATGCAGTGTGCCCCTGCATGGAGCACTCAGAGTAACTCCCAAAAAATAAACCAAAGGGAGATAAATGCACCTCCTTCCCAGTTCTGCATTTAGCTCTTCTTTTGAAAGGGGGCAGAGGAGTCTAACCATATCCCTCCTTCTATCATGTACAGGGTGACTATTCTTGTAATAGCTCTCCACGGTTGAGTTGCAATTTACAAACACTATAAGGTTAACATACTGGGCTCAGTGATTAAGAGGGATTTCAGAGCAATCGTGGAAACCATGTTAAAAGTTGACTGTTGCATGCCTGCAATCCAAGCCCCTAGTGGGCAGAAACAGGAGGATTACTGGGGCTTGCTAGCCAGCCAGTCTAGTTAACCAAATCCAACTAACCACCAAAACCACCACCACCACACCACCACACCATCACTACCAAGAACAACAACGAGAACACCCCGAACACAGCTCAGATTCAGTGAGAAGTCTTGTTTCCAAGGAGAAAGGTGGAGCGTGATAGGTCAGGACACCTGCCACCTCCTCTGGTCTCATATGCACACGGGATGTACACACCTGCACACAAGTGCACATATAAGCATTTGACACACACATACACACACACACACACACACACACACGAAAGACTAACTTGCCCTGCCTTCATGACTGTTTGTATTTGGAGAATACCTGGAAGGAGTGAATGCAGAATCTTATTTCCTCCTACCCGGCCTTCCTGCTCTCTTTATTATCAGCTGTTTTCATTGGCTATGTGAAACCACGTGCTTCTGAGATTGGCAGTCAAAATGAAATTCCTTTTCTGCGTAAAGTTGTTTGTATGCTGATCTGGTAGTCTCTTAAGATTATATGATTATTAAGATGTTCTTTTCTTCATAAGAGAAACCCCAGTGGTTCTAACAATGGTCAAATTCAAATTGCGTGCTTCCCACCTTAAATATTAGCTTTTGCTAAGTGGTGGGAAATGCTGAGAAGCTTAGCAATTTTAGCCAGTGTATCTTTCAGTTAATGACCTTTATATTCAGAGAAAGAATTTGAGTAAAGATTCAAGGTCATTGGCATTTTAATTTCTATTTCCAAAGGAAAGTGGATTTATTCTTGCAGACATTATTATATATATTCAGACATTATTATATTTGAACCCTTCCTTCCTTCTTTCTTTCCTTCCTTCCTTCCTTCCTTCCTTCCTTCCTTCCTTCCTTCCTTCCTTTTTTTCTTCCTTTTTTCCTTGCTTCCACCTTTTTCATGATTTGGTAGAATATCAGAAAATCAGTGGTGATACTATATTAAACATGTAAACTGATTGCAATCATGACATAGAGCTTTCTTTTCCTAAATATTTCTTATTTAGTGAGCACACTATTTTTGTAAACTAAAATTTATTATGAGGAAAAATTGACTTGCTTTGCTAGATAATATCGGGCTTGAAACTCAGGCGTTCCTGCTGCTCTACCACCTATTAAAACCCTTTGGTTGGAAACAATGTTTGCAGTCTTTACTGTGTTTCCGGTAGTTGTGACCAGTTTCCCACAGACCGAATAGTTGTCCCTTGGTCTTAAAGCCTGTCCAGAATTTCCCATTGTGCCAGAGTTGGGTGACGTAGTCATGGCAGCAGCCCACTTTTCTGGCTACATGGACTTATCTCAAACATGACAGAACCAACTTCCCGTGATCTCTAGAAGGAAAGCTTACAGAGCAGGTGTGCTCAGCCCACAGTGGTCACATTTCTCAAGTTTTTATAACTTAACATTATTGCTATATTCACTGGTAGACAGATACATTTCCTCCAGGTAGCCTCAAATATCATAAATTTGGGTCAACTTTGAGCAACCGAGGTTGGGGTTTCACAATTAATTCCCCTTAAATCATCACAGGGGAGAATGAAGTGTTTGCAGTGCTTTTGAAATTACACGTTCATGCTGCTTTCCTTAGCGTTTGTGTCGGAGAGGAACGTCTTACATTGTTCTGCTCATACACACCCCATTCTTCTTTTATTGCCCATTTCTTGTTTTCGTGTGTCAGCTGGAATTTTTTTGCCTATCAGAACCCCGTAGATAGGTTCAAGGTACATCTTCATGTGTGCTTATCAGAGTATTTCTCATGTAAAAAGTATTTATAACTAAATATATTTTCACTGCAGAGGTTACCAAGAATGGATATGATAATATTTCATTGTATACATGTTTGAAATTCTAAAAAATATGCACTAAATATATTTCTCTCAACACTGAAATGCCTTAGAATATCTTGCTTGGGACTATAATATACTATCTTATCGTTACATTTTATAACAGAAGTTCCACACACGCATCCCTTTGAGGTTTTTCTTCCTGGCAGCCCTGTTGAAGCTGGGGTAACTGATATTAAAGCAAACAGAGACAGATGCAGAGTGGCGAGTGTTACGTGACCAGGCGTTAACAGTGGGGCAGGGCTGGTTCTAGTGGTTCAAACACTGGGGGACGAGGTGCTAACACTGGTGTATGTGAAATGCCTTGCATTGATTAGAGGCCAGGGCATGGGGATTCAAAGTCAGGACTTCCGTTGCTATTACATGCACTTGTGTTTCTTCTATTCCTGTTTCTGCCCATTCTGAGCTGTGCAGTCATAGGCTCTTCACTTCCTGGATGTGTGAGTTCTGTATCAGAGGGAGCACAAAGAAGCGGTTTTCATCCCTGGGACCATGAGTCCTGATGTGACGGAAGTCCCTGGATTTTTCTCTGAAGTGTTCTCACATCAATGTGCAGTTTGATGGATTCTGAAACTCTTTTTAGACAGGGTCTGGCGGTGCTTAGAAACCTTGCCGCCTAATGTGTGTGAGGACTGTGTGTATGTGTGGTAGGACTGATCACAGTAATCTACAGACAGTGACTGAGTGGTCAAAGGCATTGCTGGGGACAGTGAGGCATCGGCCGAGTCCCTGCTGTTATCAAGTCTACATTTTACTGGAGAAAAATCAACGCAGAAAATTAATGAGTAAATAAATACAGTTTAGTGGAAGCTAAATACTAAGGAGACAGATCTCAAGAAGGGGTAACTGAAACCTGGGCTAGGTGGGGAAATATTATTTTAATTTTTTAACTTTTGTTTTATGAGTATGGGTGTTTGCCTGCATGTATATCTGTGCACCATGCGTGTGGTTGGTGCTTGTAGAAGCCAGAAGAGGGCACTGGCTCCCTTAGAAATGGAGTTACAGACCAGTGTGAGCCACTACGTGGTTGCTGGGAATTGAACAACCAGTGCTCTTAATCGCTGAGTAAGCCATCGCTCTTGTCCAGAGAATGTGGTCTTAAATATAATCAGGAGTTATTAGCCTGGGCAAGCTGGCCGTGGTAGTCTTTCTTTAATCTGTTTTAAAACAGGATCTCTTGTGACCCAAGCTGCTCTTAAGCAGCCTGCGTTGAGGTGTTGAGATGACTGGCTGTGCTACCATGTCCATCTTGGTTCTTTGTGTCTTAAAGTAGACTTTCAAGGGCAACCTCAGTGAGTACAGTTGGAACTAGTTACTGGAATCATAATGAAGAGGGGAAGATTTGACTTTCTACTTTTGCTTAATATTAAATATTTTGTCTAGAATATACTTTATAATGGAGGGAGCTAGGAAACACAGCTTAGCAAAAATGGAAAGATACTGCATCTCCCTCTCTCCCTCACTTTTTCTGTGTGTGTGAGTGCACACGCACCTGTGTATGCATGTATGTGCCTGTGTATGCATGAATATATATATGTATGTGTGTTCCTGTATGAGATTGTGGGGTGTAAGGCATCTGATTTTGCTGTCTGCTTAGAGCTTTCTTTTCTTTTCTTTTCTTTTCTTTTCTTTTCTTTTCTTTTCTTTTCTTTTCTTTTCTTTTCTTTGGTATTGGAGATTCTATCTAGAACCCAACACATACTAGGCAGGCGCTCTACCATTGAGCTATATCTTGAGTCCTTTTTAGATTTACTTTTTGCTTGGAGACAGAGCCTCATTAACTTGCCCAGGCTGGTCTTGAACTCACTCTGTAGCTCAGACAGTTGACAAACTTATAAACTTGGCCCCCACTCCCGTAAATGCCCTTTTTAGCTGGACTGACAGACTTACACCACCAGACCTGGCTTGTCCATTTTTACCATTGACATTTTTTCTCACATTCATTGTATATTAACGTACAAAACATTTTCCATGCCTTTGTGAATCATCTGATGAATAAAAGAGGTCACTGTCCTCAAAGAACACTTGATATTTTGGTGGTGACAGGTGGCAGGTGGTGATGGAAAGACGGAGTAAAGACAGGTTCTGCATCTGTGATTTCCGCTCTGACTATAGTGTGTTATAATTTGAAGGCGGTAAGTCATGAGTCTAGACGTCTCTCAGAGCTGAACTCAGAGGAGGTGAAGGTTCTGATGTGGAGAATTTGGTTCATTGTCGAGGTTGAGGTGCCATTTTAGTCCTTTAGTACCCAGTTTATTTTCCTATGGGCAGGGATTTGTCTGTTTGTCTCTTTGCTTTTTTTCCATGTGAGGCCCTAGTTTTATATTTCTGTCTCTGTTTTTCATTTTCTCTCTTTTGTATATTTTAGTTACTTCTCTCTCCATGTTTATGACCACACGGCTGATTCTCCCTTTAACTCCTGGATTAACTTAGTAATACGTACACAAATGCTGGTTTGTGCTAAAATCAATTTGATAGGACGTGCTTTGTGTCTGTGAAACAGTGTCAGGATTTAGACGTGTAACACTGAGAAAGTAACTTTGACTTCGTTTTCTTCCCTTAGGTTTTTAACAATCATTTTTTCCAAGTGACTATTGACGACCTAAGACCTGAGCCTAACAAACTCTCGATGCTGTGCCATGCAGATTCTTTGGGAATTTTGCCAGTACAGTGGTGCCTTAAAAACGGAGTCAACCTCACTCCTCCCAAAGGTGTGTATCCCGTGGAAATGTGTGGGGTTGGAATGATCCAGGCTAGTGTCTCATTGTCTCCGGAATGATGTCATCATGTTTACATGGAGAAGTTGCAGTGTGAATTGACAGGGATGGAAGCAAAGAGGTCTTCATTAGTTTGATTGACATTGGTGTCACCCATAGCTCCACCCCCCTGGCAAGTTTATGAGGTTGGGTTTTCAGCCTCAATGGCAGGGCACTTCCTCTGTCAGCTGCTCTGTAGCTGCTTTTCACTATGGTGTAGTGAGAGATCCAAGCAACAGTGGTGTCCAGACATGAAAGTGTCTGAGACAAAATGCCAGTAGTGTATTTCTTTCAACTCAGTGTTCTTTCTACTTTGCTCAGATACTCTTAGGATCCAAAATTTAATGTAATAACACATATTATTCACTTAATGCTATAATATGGTCTCATAATTCACTTCATGTGCAGTGCATTGTGGCAATTCACACAGGGCCAGGTTGCATTAATATAATTTAAATTTGAGATCTAAGCAATGCTTAACGACACCCTTGTAGTTTGTTACGTGGTTTTGTTGGCTACATGTCTAAGGTTTACTCAGAGGTGACAACAATAAATGAAGGTGAGGCCCTGAATGGTGGTGTACTCAGACAGCAGAGGCAGGAAGACCAGGAAGCCAAGCTCTTCTGCAGCTACACAGTGAGTTTAAAGCCAGCCGGGGCTACCAGAAACCCTGACTAAGAAAACAAATAAACTAAATATTAAGTAAAAGGAAAGACAAGACTATGAGAGGCTATGTAAAGGGACTAGCAGGGGAGAAAACTGGAGAAAGAATTAGAAAAATAAACTTAATGGAACAGATTTCAACAGACTACCTTAAATAAAAAGAGGTTTTACGTTAGCCTTTTCGGATCTGTGGGGATTATGGGATTACTTATGACATCATGCTTGCTAGTTGGTGATCACAGGCTATGCTGTGCACGTCATTGACTTGTGCTGTGCCTGGTTTATCTACCGTATAGTTGTCCCTGTTGGGCTCTGATTCTCATTTCCCTTCCATCTCTGTGGAGAAAGAATTACTTTGTGTATCTCTATTTTGGCTCTTGACTCCTCAGGTTTCAGGTGCGTAGTTATGGGGGCTGATGACACAGCTGTGAACTTGCTTGACACTGTTTGAAATCTGTGACTCACTGTGTCCTCAAAAATTCTTTTATGACGACGGTTCATCACTGACAGTTGATATAATGTGCTCTGTGCCCTGGCTGGAGAAACAAGGATTTGAGCGACAGACAGGAGCTGTGGTCTCCACGACTGCCCCTGACGGTGCTAGAAAAGGCTTCAGTCTGTGTGTGTTCTGTGCATTTCTATTTGGCTTCCATTTGTTGTGACCTGAACCAGATGAAAAGCTTAAGCTTCAAAACTGTCATGGGGACTTCATGGTCGTCTCCTTAAGTAGCACGCAGAACCAAGCCGACAGTCAAACTCTTACAATCTAACTACAAGCTTCTACTCTCAGTGGTTTCTTGGGAATTATTTTAATTTTTCCCACTATAGAATTCCTGTGTCTGATTGCTTGCCCAGTGTGTAGCCCCTAGATTCATCTTTATCTCCTTCTAACTTCTACACGGAAGCATGTAGAATGCATTCCGTTCATCAGAAGAGGGCTTAGATAATGGAAATGCTGCTTGGTGAGATTTCACAAATCTCTACTTAGTAATCACATCTGCTTTAGAACTAATAAGGGATAAACATTTACATGCTGATTTTGACTACTTGATCCGTTCCTTGTGATAGTATATCAAAGTGGGTATACGTGTTAAGGAATTTTTGAATACATATCCTTTGAAATGTAGGAAAGGAGATTGTTGACATATCTTGAAAAATAATCATAGGTAGCTATCTGTAGCTATCTGACTGTTTATATTTATGATAGGAAGAAAATTATTGTGCATTAATATAGTTGAACTCATGCCTACAATAATGATTAGCATGCACACATATAAAATGAAGTATTTTCTATCTTTAGGTTATTGGTGTGTGTGTGTGTGTGTGTGTGTGTGTATGTGTGTGTGTGCATGTGTTTATGTACACCTGAGGCCAGAAGAGAGTATCAGATTGTGTGGAGCTGGAGTTATATTTGGTTGCACCCTGCCTAGTGTGGGTACTAGAAGGCAAACTCTGGTTTCTGCAGTGGTATCCAGCTCTCTTAACTTGCTAAGCCCTACCTATCCAGCTTTAAGATTTTTATACCCACTGATCATCCATCATTATATGTTTTTATTTCCTCTCACCCAAATGCTTGTAACTCTTGGGTAAAATTATCTTAAACATCCTTTTTAACCAATCCTTACAAAGATGAAACATGCCTTTCCGCAGAATTTTAAAACAGAAAAACAGTGTTTCCTCATGGATTTGATAATTTTTTTTTAAATAGGATATTGAGTTATGGTAAGTACTTGTTAAAAAGAAAACCCCAATGGCAAGCCTTTCAAGCCCAAAGTGACAAGCATCCTTAGCTAGGTAAAGAGCCAGTGGTGATCTGTAGCTGTCTGCTGGCTATGTGGTAGCTTTATTGAAATAGAAACATTATGTTTTATCTTATAAGAGAAAAAGAAACATAGGAAAATGGACAAGGACTATGAATGGATGAAGTCTAAGAAAAGTATAGTAATTCTTGTGCGTGCGTGTGTGCATGTATGCGTGTGTGTACACACATGTGCGCACATGTGTGCATGTGTGCATGTGTGCACATACACAGGTACATCTGGAGGCCAGAAGCCCCCCTTAGCTGTTGATCCTCTGGGCAACTGTATCCCTAGCTTTTTTTTTATGTATGTATTTTATTTATTTATTTCTTGACATTTTTATTGAAATTTTTTCATACAATATATTTCAATCATATTTTTCTCCTCCCTGATCCTCCCCAATTTTTCTTGCATCCATCTCTATGACCAATTTTTTTGTTTTTAAACAGCAATCATGCAAGCAAAGAAACAAGCAACAACTAAAACCCAAGAAACACACACATACACACAAATAATCCACAAAAATGCAAAATCGGAAAACAAAGAGAAGAACAGCAGCACTTGGCTTTGATGGCTGCAGAGAAACGAATAGTCTTAGTCTTGGCTGTGAGATTATAGCTGAGTGCAGTGGTATGGAATACAGACCCAAAATTTTAAATACTCTGCAGATTATGTAGAGTACAAAGGAGAATTTATTAACCATTGTATTTAAACCCTATATCATATTACAATGAGGGATTTTAGCACTCAAGTGGAAAATTTTCATATTTGAAATGGGTCTTAAAAATTATCTCATTTAAACCTCAGTCGTTTTTTTACCCCCTGGGGAACGCCAAGCTCCGTTGTGTTAAATGTTTTCTGAAATCCCAAGAGGGTGTCTAAATTCCAGCCTTACAATCTTAAGTGAATGCTTCTCTGCATAACTATGCCACCGGTTGCTGCTATTCCCATGACTGGCATCTCCACACAATCCATCATCCTTCGGGGCAGTTTGGGTGGCGTTGTGCAGGGCTGGCAGATTTAGTGGGCCATGATTTTTGCATAGGTAATTGGTCTATGGTTCAGAAGAGTTGGTGAATTACAGTAAGAAGGTGTAATTTCCCAAATGTTGACGGTTATACCACAGTTGTGGCTTTGTTTATTGGGCCCTGGTTTCATCTCATGAGGGTAGATTCTATTTATTTTGGTAATTAAAACGAATGTGACTTTAGAGGTGTTGATCCTGGTGGGAATCGTACTGTGGTTTAGTGGTTTCCTTTTGAGGTGGTTCATTACGTGTCTTACCTTACTCTGAGCGCCTGGAAACCTGTTGCAGGATTTCTCAAACACTATTCCCTAATTTATTAATATATGAAAGGAGAAGTTTCTTAAAGTCTGTTTTAAGCTTGAACATTAGGGTTTATAGCTAGAATGTGTAAGATGTCATATGCATATCCCCAAGAGATTTCAAAGTTTTTTCCGTGTGCTTAGATTTCTGTGAAAACTGACTACTTCTTCCACTTGGATGTTGCCTGGTCTCTGAAAGGTTTTAGTTAGACGGCGGCATAGGTGACAGACAAGCCAAGAACACAGGTCTCTTTTTATGTTGTTTTGACTCTGTTCTCTTTTAAAAGAGAAAGGGAAATATATCTGCCCCAGACTCTAGAGACGAGACTTCTAAGCTATGATGGACAGGAACTTCTCAGTGGCTCTCTGCCTCTGTGCTTCACTGTCTAGCAAAGACTAGAGCCTGAGAGATCTGATCCTGTTAGTTTAGTTCAGTAAGGTCTGCCAGTGTTATAGGCCCTACCAAATGTGATTAACCAGACACACAAATAAATAGGCTGAAATAAAGGATACATAGGATATGAACCTTCTGGGCACATAATATCACAGGTTAGTTGTAGATTTAAAGAATGGTAAAAAAACATGCCGCCTTTAGATTTGTGTTGTACAATGTAGGCGACAATACCGAAGTAAACTGCTTACTTTAGCACTTTGCTAGTCTCTATGTAAACCATTTAGTAGGCATATAAACTGTCTAATGTAATTTAGGAAGGAGATATGTATTTAAATTATTATCGGGGCACAAAATAGTCATTTCCTAATTCCAACTCTCTTTTCCTAAAGAATTGGAGTCACTGGCAGTTGTCCTTAGTTCATTTCAAAAATTTAATTTTATCAATCAGTAGTTGTATTGTAGAGAATAATATACAGGCAATCAGTCAGGCATGTTGACATACAAGTGTAACCCCAGCACCTGGGAGACAGTAAGGAGGATCAGGAGTTCAAATTTATGCTTAGCTATATAATGAGTTTGAGATCAGCCTGGGGTTCATGCAAGACCCCTCACTCTCTCTCTCTCTATGCATGTGTATGTAAGTGCATGCGTATATATGTGTGCATACATGTATATACACATATGTGTACACACATGCACGAACAAAGTTGACACTCATTGATCCATTCAAATGATGTTAACATTTTGCCATATTGATTTAGAGTTTTAGAGAT